ATGACTCTTAGGTGTGATATATTGTGGTCAGGAAGAGGAAGAGGCGGCCATTGATATCATATCCACAAAGTATGAGAGATATGGCAATGGAGTCGAAGCACCGGAAAAGTTGGAAATCATTAAAGAGAAGTGCAATGAATTGGGCAATACTAATGGCACGGGTAGACTGTAAGTGCAATTGTAATTGTATTTCATTAAATATAAAGTACGTGTGTGTGTTCAAAAGTGTTATACCGTATTATTTGTTAGATATTTTAAAACAAATTAAGTAACAACACTTGAGAAATTAAAAGCGTAAATCAATTTATATTAATTTTAATCAAAAAATAATATTCAAACCATGAACATTGGATATATGAAATAGAGAGCTGATCCCATTGTATAATTTACTTAGGTAAAACAGATTAAAATAGAATTATTAAAATTGAACATGAGCGACTGAGCCGCTGTTTTAATACCTGTTAAACTATTCTCATGAATAACTAATTAATAGATTTTGGTCATGTGATCATTTGCATTGTTATAGGTTTTAAGTACATGCACCCATAGACATTACATTTTGGTCATAAGCTACATAAATTGAAATGATGTATAGGTTAAATTTATTAAGAAAAATAATGTAATATCTTAATTTAATGTTAAGATTGTTAAAAAGATTAATATAATTTATTATAATGGTATTTATCCATAAACTAATATTATGATAATTTCCAGCTTCTGGGACATTATTACTTCCTTGAAATGGGCAGGGTACCTCAAACCAAAGATCCGGGATGTGGTTCTGGAGAGTCCAACCATTCAGTTCTATGAGAAAGTTAACATTTTTTGCAAATTGCCCGATGACAAAATGTTAAAATACACCCCTATTATAAACGCTAAACTGCGGCTCTGGTTTTTTGATGCACTGGCAAAGGAACCTATGGATCTTCTACGATGCTTTGTCAGCTCTTAATTGTACCCGCTTTATCATACCATACACTAAAAATTATATATTATTATACATAGTAATTTAAGGCTAGAAATGATATTTTTAATGTATATTTCAACATGATTCATTTATGAGAGTTTACATTAAAAGTATTAGATTAAGGTGCAAAACATACAAAATTATACTTTAATATATAGTTTTTACCACCAAAGTTCCACTTTTTTTCTAGCCATAATCATTAAATAATAATTAAAGTTTAGGTGAATATTATACACATACAGTAATACTATTAAAAGTTGTACGTGGGAAATTACATTCGATATATGCTTTACTTTTAAAAACAAATAATTACAAGATGTTGGTAAATAGTTGTATAAAATTACTCATACAAGTAAATAAGTAATAGTTTTTCACAAATAACGTGTAAGTTTTATAAATTGCAAATATATTTTAAATATTAGTTTTATGTATTAATAATGAAATTGTTGTATTTGTTTCCATAAACAAAACAATTACAGCGTTAGCCGTGACTTTTGGGCTAAAGTGATTGATATGCACGACGACATCGATGGGTTCAGGGAGTTCTCACACAGACGTATTGACATTTATCCGGCAGTATTGAACCGAACTGAACACGTGTTGGGAGTAAAGGTGGACACAAAGTGCGAGATGAAAGAGTCCTACCCCGAGGCTAAATATAATTCGTTTATTGTGTTGTATTGTAAATTACTTGCAAAGTATTTGGAATCAGCGCTTTAATTACATATTTTAAATATTATGAACTAGTACCATTTATTTTGTATATTAAATATGTATACACTTTTATTTGTGCTATATGTTCTAATTTTCTATTAATATATTTATATAATAAATTTTAATTTTAGCATTATTATATTATTTTTTGTTTGTATTTACTGTTATGAGAGAGAGAGAGAGAATATTTTATTTAAAATTAGATACTAAATCAAAATTGTAAACTGACCACAACTAAATGAATAAAAATTAAGATTAAATTTAAAAAAAAATTAACTAACTCAAGTTAATTATTTGATTATAAGTATATCTTACAAGATATTAGATACAATGATTGACTCTCTCTCTCTCTCTCTCTCTCTCTCTCTCTCTCATAACAGTAAAT